ATAGTGTCAATAGTGTCAATAATGCAAAATGACAATAGTAAACACAAATTTTTCAGTTAAAGACAGTTCATCAGTGATGTAACTGCATTTATATTTGTATATTTGCTGGAAAGTCAAACAAACTATTTATTAATATTAATGTAAATTATTATTATTATTATTATTCATTTTGTATTATTTGTATAAACTGCATTTATATTTGTATATTTGCTGGAAAGTCAAACAAACAATTTATTAATATTAAAGTAAATTATTATTATTATTAATATTAGTAGTAGTAGTAGTAGTATAACTATTTTTGCTGGAAATTTTTCCAAATTACCAAATTATTATTATTATTCAACATATAAATAATGTTTATTTTTGCTGGAAATTTAACAAAATAAAATTAATACTAATTTATAATAAAATAATATCAATATTATATATATAATTTTTTTTTTTGTGTGTGTGTGTTGAATTCCCACTATATATATATATATATATATATATACCAGACAGAAGAATAACCAGCACTGAAACAGATGCAGCATCAGATCTGTGTGTTTCTAAAGCAGATGAACGTGAGTCTATGAGAACACATGCTGCAGATCGATCCGGCCTTTCCTCACTTCATTACGGATCACGTCTAGAAATCAGAAACATCTCTTCTCTGTTCATGCCGTCACTCCTCACGTCTTCTTCCAGCCTCGGCTCTTTCAGTCTTGAAAACGTCCCAGTGATTATGTGGAACGGAAACTGGCCTATGCAGCGTTTGACAAGCCATCATTAGAAGCAATACTCTGCACTCATTTCCATAGAAACAGTCGCTTTGTCCCGCCGATAATTGTGAAAGTTGCAATTTCCTGTCAAAGCAGTGACAGTGTGGAAACGTCTGTAATATAAAGGTGTCAGCAACAGCAAAACCTCGAGAGGCCATTGATTCCTGCATCAATACAGACGCCCTCCAGACTGTCCAGTTAAACCAATGCATGCTCCTGATTCTCTTGTCTGCGCTCGTATTGAACTCTGAGAGCCGAAACACTGGACTCGTGAGTCACAGATTGAGTGAAACAGAGCTGTGATTCTCTCATCCTGCAGCAGAGGGCGCTCTCAGCCATCACTACATGCAGCCGACGCATTACACCAGAACTACACACTGCATGCTATTCCTGGACTATTCACATTACTGTATCTGTGTGTGCATTTTCTGTTTGCATTTAACCTCTTATTGATTCATTAGGATCAAACCATCAAGAGATGCATGGCAAAAATGATGTCTATTAGGCTTGCTTTCCAATAAAATGCATAAATATAATACTTCAAACAAAATACATTTACTTGAAAAGCAACACTACATATTTTTTTTAAAGAGGAATGTATATTTAATATGACTGTATTTCGTCTTACTGCACCAAATTTTTTTTTATTTTTTTATTTTTTTACTTCAAGAATAAAAATAAGTGACAGAATATTAATATCTTAATATCTGATGCAACGTTGCTTTCAAAGTGGACCTACTAGTTTTTAGGATTTTTAGATATTTGAACTCTTATTTTTAACTTAAAATAAGACAAGGAAAGGAAAATTTGGTGAAGGATTTACTTTGAGAAAAAATAATTACAAAGAAACCAAGAGCAACACGAGGGTTATTACAGTTCCCTAAAACCAAGACATTTATATTACTTAAAATAGAATAAACATTAACTGAAATATAATAAATGATAATTTATATATATATATATATATATATGTGTGAGACAGATTTTTTAAAATAAGTTCTATATATAAAATAAGTTATATAATATTTATATATAAATAATTTTATTATTTAACTATATTTATTTATTTATTTATTTATATATGTATGTATTTAAAATACTATATATATATATATATATACACTATAATAACACTGAGTAACATATTGAATTAAATGTGAAATGTTTAAGTAGAAAATGTATTTTCTTGTAAAACATAATAATCTATTTACAACTTTTAAAAAATATATATTTTTTCTGTGGACTAACTTAAAAAAAAAATTCTTTTTTTTTGCAGCCTAATGGGCCATTCGCACAGAACTTGCATCTAAAAATGCGTCTTGCATCTTAGCATCTAAAATCGCGAGACAGCGCTCAGGGATGGTTTTAAAAAAAGCGCAGCACAGAATGCGTCCTCCGCCATGCTGCCGTCAAATAAAACCGTCGCCATGCCAAGATTCTACTGTAAACAAAAGCTTGCATCGCTTGCCCCGCCTCCATGGTCGTCTGATTGGTCCACTGTTTTGGAACTGGCTTTGATGAGCACCATTGCATGTAAACGTTTAAACTTTTTTAACTTGACAAAGCATCTTAAAAAATGCAGATGCGAGTGCAACGGTCATACACATCAGTCTATTGCGCGTTTATATAGCAAAACAATAGATAAGTAGTGCACTGGAATGGAAAAATGCATTCTGTGTGAACGGCCCTTAAGACTGTTTTATACTGGACTGGATCGCGATATTAAAGCAACGAGCCCTCAGCAGGCATCAGTGTAGAGTGTGTAGTGTGCAGTATACAGTCAGTGTTTGTGCTGATGATGTGAAGTGTGTTCTCTATTATCTATTACGTGTATTGGTTTATGAGATATGTGAGCTTTCGCGTCAGCGGCCTTCCTTTGATTAAACATGCATGTGTGTGTGTGGCTCGTCCTCGGAGTGAGTCCGGGACACTGTGTGTTTACGTGTGTGTGTGTGTGTGTGTGTGTGTGTGTGTGTGTGTGTGTGTGTGTGTGTGTGTTTG